TGTCCCTGGTACTGCAGGTGTGTCCCTGGCACCGCAGGGGTGTCCCTGGCACTGCAGGGGTGTCCCTGGCACTGCAGGTGTGTCCCTGGCATTCCAGGTGTGTCCCTGGCACTTCAGGGGTGCCCCTGGCATTCCAGGTGTGTCCCTGGCACCGCAGGTGTGTCCCTGGCACTTCAGGGGTGCCCCTGGCATTCCAGGTGTGTCCCTGGCACCGCAGGGGTGTCCCTGGCACTGCAGGGGTGCCCCTGGCATTCCAGGTGTGTCCCTGGCACTGCAGGGGTGTCCCTGGCACCGCAGGAGTGTCCCTGGTACTGCAGGGGTGTCCCTGGCATTCCAGGTGTGTCCCTGGCACTGCAGGGGTGTCCCTGGCACCGCAGGAGTGTCCCTGGTACTGCAGGGGTGTCCCTGGCATTCCAGGTGTGTCCCTGGCACCGCAGGGGTGTCCCTGGCACCGCAGGTGTGTCCCTGGCACTGCGGGTGTGTCCCTGCCACCACAGGTGTGCCCCTGGTATTCCAGGTGTGTCCCTGGCACTCCCAGGGCGTCCCTGGCACTGCAGGTGTGCCCCTGGCATTCCAGGTGTGTCCCTGGCACTCCCAGGGCGTCCCTGGCACTTCAGGGGTGCCCCTGGCATTCCAGGTGTGTCCCTGGCACTGCAGGGGTGCCCCTGGCATCTGGAACCTTCCCTTCAGCTCCGGGAATGTTTTTCCTCCTGGTTCTGTTTCCCCTCTCTGCCAGCTCCTCCTTCCACCCCAGACCCTGAACGGCCCCGGAGCAGGAGCTGAACCCGAACGTCCTGCCTGGCACAGAGCCCGCAGTGCCAACGTGCCCGAGCCAGGGATGTGCCTGGCATGCACAGAGGGCACGGCTGGCACCGCGTCAGTGATCCTGGGGAGCGCTTTTGGTGGGACACGGAGGGAGGAGCAGGGATGGGAAAAGGAAAAGGGGAAAGGAGAAAGGAAAAAGGAGAAGGAAAAAGAGGGAAGGAAAAGGGAAAAGGATGGGAAAAAGGGGGAAAGGGGAAGGGAAAAGGGGGAAAGAAAAGGGGAAGGAAAAAGGGGGAAGAGATGGAAAAGGAGAAGGAAAAGGGGGGAAGGAAAGGGAAAAGGAGAGGAAAATGGGGAAAGCGAGAAGGAAAAAAGGGGAAGAAAATGGAAAAGGAGAAGGAAAAAGGGGGAAGGAGAAAGGATCGGAAAATGGGAGGAGAAAGGGAAAAGGATGGGAAAAATGGGGGAAAGGAGAAAGGGGGAAGAAAAGGGAAAAGGAGAAAGGGAAAAGGAGAAGGAAAAAGGGGAAAGGAGAAAGGAAAAAAGGGAAGGAAAAAGAGGGAAAGCGAGAAGGAAAAAGGGGAAAAGAAAAGGGGAAGGAAAAAGGGGGAAGGAGAGATGGAAAAGGAGAAGGAAAAGGGGGAAAGAAAAATGGGGAAAGAAAAGGGAAATGGGGGAAAGAAAAGGGAAAGCGAGAAGGAAAAAAGGGGAAAGAAAATAGAAAAGGAGAAGGAAAAAGGGGGAAGGAGAAAGGGAAAAGGAGAAGGAAAAAGGGGGAAAGAAAAGGGAAAAAGAAGGGAAAAGTGAAAAAGAAAAAAGGAGAGAAGGGAGGGAGGGAGGGAGGGAGGGAGGGAGGAAGGAAGGAAGGAAGGAAGGAAGGAAGGAAGGAAGGAAGGAAGGAAGGAAGGAAGGAAGGAATCCCAAAAACCCAAACCAGGAAAGCAGAGTTTTTATCCCAAGGGCAGCTCCAATCCTTTTTTCCTAATTTAAATTCCTTTATCCCCTCCAAAATAATCAGAATAAACCCTGGGTTAAACTCCACTGAGAGCCCAAAATTAAATCCCAAAAATTCTCCATCCCATCCTTTGGGAATCCCTGGAAAAATTTATCTAATTTTAATTTATTTAATATTTAATCCCTGGAAAAAATCCAATTTATTCCTCCAGCCCAATTCTGGGATAATTCCCAGCTCCTGTCAGGAATTCCCTGCCCTAAAACCCAAAAAATCACAAACACCACCCACAAACCCAACCCAAAATTGAATTTTCCCCCAAATTTCCCCCAATTTTATCTTGCAAATCTCTTTATTACAACACACAGATTAGTCCTGAATAGTTTTTCTTATGTACAGAAATAGAATTTTTCTTTTTTTTTTTTTTAGGTAGAAAAAACCCAACAAAGCAGCCACAAATCAAAGAAAATCCATAGAAAGCCAAATCCAAACTTTTTTTTCCCCCCCCCAAAATGATACAAAAATAAAAATCTGCAAGATCACAGTTTTGATTTAATTCCCTCCAAGTTTTGCTTCCAATATATTTTGTAAAGGAATTTTAGAGGGGAAAAAATGGAATTTTGAGGTGTTCAGGGATGGGTTTGGTGGTAATAAAATTGAATTTTCTGATGGAACAGCTGGAAAAAATGAGGTTGGAGGAGTGGGAAAACTCATCCACGGGAATTTTGATTAAAAAATTTAAATTTTTTTCCAAGGTTTGGACCCTTTGGAAGTTGAAACCTTTTCAAGTTCCTTCATGAAATCCCAATTTTTTCCAAGCAGTTTTGGATTCCCAGCATTCCCAAGGTTCTCCTGAGCACCAAGAAATTCGAGTTGTCCACAAAGAACTGAAGCACCACAATCCCAAAAATCCCAAAAAACCCAAAAATAAATCCCAAAAATGAACCCCAAAAATGAACCCCAAAAATAAATAAATCCCAAAAATTGGGAGATCCATGGGAAAAACCAACCGGGAGATCCAGGGGAAAATTCTCGTTGTGTGTTTGCCTTGGAATGATCAGAAATTCACATTTTTTTTCTTCTTGGAATTCCAATTTTCGTTGGTTTTTAAAAAGCAAATCCGAAGTGAGTAAAATCCTCAAAAAAAATTCAAAAAAATTCCAAGTGGATTCCTCAGGATTTGAGAATTTTTAAATTTTTTTTTTTTGAGGAAAAAAATCAAATTTTTAAGATGGCAAACTGTTGGAATTTGAATTAACACAGCTTTAATTTAATTAATCTCCTAAATTTTCTAATTGAACCACAAAAAAGGGATTTTTTAATTTAAAGAAGCATTTCCTGCAAAAAAAAAATAAAGGAAAAATCCAAAAATTCTGGGATTTTCAATTGGGATAAAGCAGGAATAAACAATTTTCTTCCAAATTAAAAACTGGGTTCAAATGAAAATTAAGGATAAATTTAAAGCACTTTAACAAAGTTTTTCTTCTACCAAATGGAAATTCTTCTGGCCAGCTGAACAAATAATTGATTTATTGACCCAACTTTGTGCAAACATTGGAATTTTTCCATTTTTATTTTCCCTGCTTGGAAAATTCCCACACCAAGCTCCAGCTCCAAACCCCTTTTTTCCCTCAAGGATTTTGATTAAATAATTGTAATATTTGAAATTAAAATATAAATAAAAAGAGTTTTGTCCTCTCACTGAAATGTTTTTTTGGTGACCCCAGTGCAGACACAAAGAGTTAATACTGATTTTTTTTGGGAAAGAAAATCAGGAATTTTTGTCTTGAAATTTCTTGAAATTCAAGATAATTTCCTTAAATTCAAGGAAATTATCAGGACAAGGAGATTGGAAATAAAAATTCACTTCAATCCCTCTCCCAGAGCAGAATTACAGCAAAGATTAATTAAATAATTCAGGAATTTTGCTCCCTAAATTCAAGCATCATCCACAGCCTCATTAAGTTTGAATTATTAATAATAATAATTAATTATTAATGAATAATTATGAATAATTGATTGGGATGAGGAAATTCAAGAAATTTGTTGGACAAGCAGACAGAACTTTTTGGAATAATCCTGGAAAAGGGAATTATTGAAATCAAAGCTTGGTTGGGAATATTCAAACCTCAAAAAGCTCCAGAAAAACTCAAATATTGGATTATTCCAAGCAAAAAAAAAAAGGGAAAAAAAATCCCTTAAACAAAGGAATTTTTAAAAATGGATTATTATTATTCCAAGCCAAAAAAAAAGTGGGAAAAAAAATCACTTAAAGGAAGGAATTTTTAAAAATGGATTATTCCAAGCAAAAAAAAAGTGGGAAAAATCACTTTAAAGGAAGGAATTTTTAAAAATTGATTATTCCAAGCAAAAAAAAAAATGGAAAAAAATCACTTTAAAGGAGAGAATTTTTAAAAATGAGGCTTGTGGAGAAAATGGAGAAACACAAAAATAAAAACCCCTCAGCTGCACATCCCTCAGGGAATTTGAAATCAAAACTGCAATTCCCATAAATATTTCCTTCAAAATAGGTTTTGCTTTGTTTTTTTTGTTGTTTTTTTTTTTTTGTTTTTGTTTTTGTTTTCCAAAGTGCAAAAATCCAAAGGAAAAGTCCCCACACTTCCCAAGGAAAAGGCAATTTTTGGGAATGGATTGAACCCCAAGCAGTCTGGTCGTGTGTCAAGTGCTAATTAACAGGAATGCAATTAGAGCACACCTCATCAGGGAGCTCCAGGGCTATCAAAACAATTTCTCAATATCAAACCAGGGAGAGGAAAAAAAGGGGAAAAAAATTCCCATTTTTCTCCCCGTTTCAGCACACGCAGCTGCCAGACAACAATTTCTGAATACCACACCAGGAAGGAAAAAAAGGGAAAAAAATCCAATTTTTCTCCCCATTTCAGCACATGCAGCTGCCAGGGGAGAAAAAAAAAGGAAAAAAATCCCATTTTTCTCCCCGTTTCAGCACACGCAGCTGCCAGACAACAATTTCTGAGTATCAAACCAGGGGGAAAAAAAAAAGGGAAAAAAAATCCAATTTTCCTCCCCATTTCAGCACACGCAGCTGCCAGATAACAATTTCTGAGTATCAAACCAGGGGGAAAAAAATTCCCATTTTTCTTCCCATTTCAGCACACGCAGCTGCCAGACAACAATTTCTGAGTATCAAACCAGGGGGAAAAAAAAATCCAATTTTCCTCCCCGTTTCAGCACACGCAGCTGCCAGGTGTGGTAGAGATTTCATGAATGGAGGGGTGAGGGCAATGGCAGGAGGTGGAAGGTTCTAGAAGGGGTCGGTCCTGTGGGGTTGGGGTTCCTGGAGCCTCTGCAGCACCCGCAGCCGGTGCTGGGGGCTCAGGCAGAAGCCGATGGCCGCCTCGGTCTCCTGGATGCGTTTTTGGAACCTGCAGCCGTCGCGAGCCAGCTCCTCCCAGGGCCCCCTGCGATCCTCCTCGCTGCTGATGTAGTACTCGGTCACCTCCTCGTGGAATGTCACCTGAAAACACAAGGGATTCACTCAGGAACTCTCAGCAAATGCAAGTTTAAGGCGGTGGGGGTTGGGGTTTGAGTGGGAGTTGTTGAGTAGGTACAATCACAGAATCACTGTGTTGGAAGATCCTTCAAGGTCCTCGAGTCCAACCCAGCCCCAACCCCTCAACTCACCCCTGGCACTCAGTGCCACATCCAGGCTTGGGTAAACACCCCCAGGGATGGGGACTCCACCACTGCCCTGGGTAGAACATTCCAGAACTTTATCCCCCTTTCTGTAAAAAGCTTTTTCCTGCTATCCAACCTAAATGTCCCTTGAGGCTGTGCGCTCTGTTTGTGTCAGTGCCTGCTGACAGAGCCCAGCCCCAGCTGAGCACGGGCACCTTTCAGGAGCTGCACGTGATGGGGGCACCCCTGAGTCTCCTTTTCTCCAGGCTGAGCACCCCCAGCTCCCTCAGGGCTTCCTCACAGGGTTTGTGTTCCCAGCCCCTCTGGATGTGCTCAGTGTCCCCATGTCCGTCCCAAGCTGAGGGGACAGAGCTGACACAGCGCCCCAGGTGTGACCCCAGCAGTGCCAGCACTGGGGCACAGTGACCTCCCTGCTCCTGTGGCCACACCATTCCTGACACAGGCCAGGTGTCACTGGCCCTCATGGCCATCAGGGCACTCTGCTGGCTCCTGTCCAGCTGCGTCCATCTGTCCTGCAGGTCCCTTTGTGCCTGGCCACTGCCCGGCCACTCTGTCCCCAGCCTGTACAACTGCAGGGGTTGTTGCGGCCAAAACGCAGGACCGGGCACTTGGACTGATTAAACTTCATCTCCTTGGACTCTGCCCATCCCTCCAACCGTTCCAGGTCTCCCTGCAGAGCCTTTCTACCTTGCAACAGATCAACAAACGCTCCCAGCTCGGTGGCATCTGCAGATTTAGTGATGAAAGCCTCAGTTCCCTCATCCATGTGGTCAATGGAGATATTAAATGGAACTGGCCCCAGCACAGAGCCCTGGGGACAGCACTGGTGACTGGTCCCAGGTGGGTGCAGCACCACTCACCACCACTCTGGGCCAGCCAGTCCCTAACCATGGAACACTCTTACAAGTGGTGAAAGGGCTGGGAAATTTTCTGAGGGGGATATTGGGATATATATGGGATATTCCATCCTGACTGGGATTGGAATGGTGGAGCTGCCAGAGGAGCTGCGGCTGCTCCATCCTTGGAAATGTCTAAACTTAGGCTGGAAAGTGGATAAAAAAAATAGATAAAAATAAGTAAAATATGGCTTTAAAATACTATAGAAATAAATAGACCATGAGGCCCTTTCAGGTCCTCCTTGCTGCTTATGTAATACTCCATCATACACCAGTTTTTAATGGAATGTCACCTGAAAAAAGCAGAGTTTCAGTCAGGAATTCTCAGTAAATCCAAGTTTAAAGTGGTTTGAGTAGAAGTTGTTGAGTGGTGAAAGAGTCAGGAAATTTTTCTGAGGGGTGTTGGGAAAGGAATCGTGAGTGGGATTGGAATGGTGGAACTGCCAGAGGAGCTGTGGCTGCTCCATCCTGGGAGTGTCCAAAGTCAGCCTGAAGAGTGGATAAAATCCAGAAAAATTAGATAAAAATAAGTAAAATATGGCTTTAAAACATTATGGGCATTTTAAAATAAATGGACTAAGAGGCCCTTTCAGGTCCTCCTCGCTGCTTATGTAATACTCCATCTTACATCAGTTTTTAATGGAATGTCACCTGCAAAAAAGAAGGGATTCAGGCAGGAATTCTCAGCAAATCCAAGTTTAAAGTGGTGAGGTTTGGGTTTTAATGTGAAGTTGTTGAGTGGTGAAAAGATTGGGAATTTTTTCTGAGGGGTGTTGGGAAAGGAATCCTGACTGGGATTGGAACGGTGGAACTGCCAGAGGAGCTGTGGCTGCTCCATCCTGGGAGTGTCCCAAGCCAGGCTGGACAGTGGATTAAAAATGGCAAAAAGATAGATAAAAATAAATACAATATGGATTAAAATGGATTAAAAATAGGAACTTAAAATACTATAAAAATAAACAGAATATTATTAAAGTATGTGTGGGACTGCTGGGACTTTGGGATCCCTACTGGGACTGTGGGGTCCCTGATGGGATTTTGGGGTCCCTGTTGGGATTTTGGGGTCCCTGATGGGATTTTGGGGTCCCTGTTGGGATTTTGGGGTCCCTGATGGGATTTTGGGGTCCCTGCTGGGATTTTGGGGATTGCTGAGGATTGCCTAAGCCAAAAAGAAAAAAAGCCAGGAAGGTTTTGTTGAGTCAAGAGCCCCGTGAGTCACCACGGGGACAGATAAGGAGGAACAGGGGACAACACTCAGCCCAACGTGACCGGAACAACCAGTCCTGGATTAAAATACACACACAAAATTCACAATCCTTCCTGGAATTTAGGGGTGGAGTTCGTGTAATGAAATTAAAAATATACACACAAAAAGTGTCACAATCCCTCCTGGAATTTCAGGGTTAGGGTTAGGGTAATTGTGTAATGAAATTAAAAATATACACACATGAAAATTCACATTCCTTCCTGGAATTCCAGAAGGGTTTGGGGTCACCCCATTCCATGAGGGACATTCCCCACCGTCCCAAAGGACAAATATTCCTAGAAACAGGAAAAAACCATGGAAATGTCAAAAAAAAACAACAAAAAAAAAGCTGCTCCATTCTTGGATTTATCAGCACAACGAGGAGGGTGTTGGTGCTGCAGGGAGCTTCCAACAGGAAAATCTGGAATTCCAGAAGGGTTTGGGGTCACCCCATTCCATGAGGGACATTCCCCACTGTCCCAAAGAACAAATATTCCTAGAAACAGGAAAAAACATGGAAATGTAAAAAAAAAAACAAACAAAAAAAGCTGCTCAATTTCTATGATTTATCAGCACAACGAGGAAAGTGTTAATGCTGCAAGGAGCTTCCAAACGGGAAAATCTGGAATTCTAGAAAGGTTTGGGTGATCCCATTCCATGAGGGACATTTCCCACTGTCCCAAGGGACAAATATTCCTAGAAACAGGAAAAACCCATGGAAATGCACAAAAAAATTTGCTCCTTTCCTAGGATTTATCAGCACAATGAGGAGGGTGTTGGTGCTCCAACAGGAAAATCTGGAATTCCAGAAGGGTTTGGGGTCACCCCATTCCATGAGGGACATTCCCCACTGTCCCAAGGGACAAATATTCCCAAAAACAGGAAAAACCATGGAAATGTCAAAAAAAAAACCCCAAAAAAACCCTGCTCCACTTCTAGGATTTATCAGCACAATGAGGAGGGTGTTGGTGCTGCAGGGAGATTCTAAACAGGAAAATCTGGAATTCCAGAAGGGTTTGGGGTCACCCCATTCCATGAGGGACATTTCCCACTGTCCCAAAGGACAAATATTCCTAGAAACAGGAAAAAATGTAAAAAAAAAAATGCTGCTCCATTTCTAGGATTTATCAGCACAACGAGGAGGGTGTTGGTGTTACAAGGAGCTTCCAACAGGAAAATCTGGAATTCCAGAAGGGTTTGGGGTGATCCCATTCCACGAGGGACATTCCCCACGGTCCCAGGGGGTGTTCTGTGCATGGACAGGATGGAGAGGCGATCCCAAAAATCAGCAGGGGAGGATTTAAGGAATTCCCTGATCCCAAAAATCCCCGGGAGCAGCGCCGGGAGCCCTCCCAGAGCTGAGCCCAGAGTGGCACCGACACCCCCAGATTTGATGGCTTTGGGAACAAAACCCCTGGAATTTTTTCCCCAAAAACCCCCAGGAATCCTCAGGAATGTGCCTGGCTCCTGCAGGAGAGCTTCAGGAGCTGTTTCATCAGCCCGTCCCCACCTTGCAGCTTTTTTACATCAGTCGGAGCCACAATTCCCCCGCTCTGACATCATTTGGGATATTGCAGCCACCTCATCCCTTCTTTCATCACAGCACCTGAGGCAAAAATTCCTGCTGCAACCGCAGCCCTGGCGCTCGGGAGCGCTCGAAATTAATTATTCTGCGAAATTGATGCAGAAAAATCAAAGTGTCTGATGGAAAAATGTGAAATCATTAGAAATATTTGCTGTCTGTATGGTTTGTTTCACCACTGGGTTGCTCAAGGATTTGGTGTTCAAGTCATTCCTCATCCAGATGTTTGAGGGAAACACCCTGAACATCTGCAGCAGCACAAAATTTAAGATAAATTTTTGTTTATCTGCACCCCAGCACAAGCATTATTATTACCATTATTTATTAATTATTATTATTAATGCCCAAACTACTTTAAAAAATCAAATTACTCTGTTTAGGTTCAAAAGTCCAGTTTTTGATGACATCCTTCCTATAAATAACTATCCCATAAATAGCAAACCCATAATCATAATATAAATATTTATATTATACTAATATATAATGTAAACATTTTATAATATTTATATTATATATTATATTAATATACAATATTACTAATTTATTATATTTATAGAATATATCTATAATATGTTATATGATAATACGTTTATATTATATTATATTTAAATTATGTTTATATATTATATTATATTAATATTATAATTACTCTGTTTAGGCTCAAAAGTCCGGTTTTTGATTACATCCTTCCTATAACTAACTATCCCATAAACAGCAAACCTGTAATTATAATATAAATATTCTATCTATATAATATTAATATATAATATCAGCATATTATTAAATTTATAATATATTCTATATTTATAATATATTATATAATATTAATATATCGGTACATTTATAATATATTACATATTACATATTATATATTAATAATAATAATAATAGGAATACTAATACTAATAATAATAAATTTAATAGTATCTTAAACGGAAATGGGAATATTGGAATAATTTATATAGGAACCCAAATTTACTCCAGAGCACTCAACAAGCTGGGTTATAAAAAATATAACACCTGGGTTATAAAAAGAAAATCCTAAATAATCTTTCGGTTTCAGGTCCTAAACAACTTCCTTCTAACAGAAACTGGGGATTTTCAGGGAGATTCCTCACAACTTTGGAGTTTTTCAGGGAAAAATTTCCACCCCAGGCCTGGAGTTTCTCTGACGTCGAGACCACAAGGGAAACAGAAAGGAAATTACAACTCAAAACGGAAAGAGAACTTTTGAATCTAGAGAAAAAATATTGCTGTCAGCGAGTCTCGGAACGAGAATCAGAATTTCCCATCACGTGCCAAGGATGAGGTTCTGCATTCCAAGGAAATTATCAGCACATATGGAACGCTGACCTCACCCCCACTTGGCGCAGCGTGGCTGTTTATTTCTTTTCATAATCCTAAAATATAAAAATATGAATAAAACCCGTACCTTTTTCCGCTTGGAGCTCGCAGTTTTGTCGCTGCTCTGCCCCAGCTCAGCGCTGCCGCAGTTGTGTTTTTCCAGCTGTACCCTGCACACGTCGAAATGCTCCGAGGGGGCACAACTCGCCCTCTCTGCCCCTTGCAAACCCGGCGTCCCTTTTTTCTCCGCTGGCTGAAAGGCTGCAGTAAAGTTTAAAGGGTTATAGGGATCGTCCGAGCTACAGAACGAGTTCCAAAGTTTCAAGCTCTCCGCCTCATCCACGCTCTCGCAGTCCCACTCGTCCTCATCGGAACTAGGCGAGCCCTCAGAGGACTCTGCCCATGAGTCTTCCTCCTCCTCCTCCTCCTCCTCCTCCTCCATGTCCGACATTCCCTTTCCCGGCTCGCTGGAAGACGTTTGGATGGTGGCCGTGAAGTTCTGAGGGTTGTAGGGATCCAAGCTGTAGAAGGAGTTCCACAGATGAAGCCTCTCCCCGTCCTGGCTGCCGGCGTCCGAGTCGGAGGGCAGCTCTTCGCTGTCAAACCCGTCATCATCATCTTCATCATCATCACCATCATCCCAGTCTTCCTCACCCTCACTCTCCTCGCCGCTGGATACTCCCCCGATGATATAATCGATTAATTTATTCGCACAGACAGGTCTGGTGGATATTGGGAAGTCTTGCTCCGTTTCCGAGTCCTCGCGTTCCTCTTCAGCCAAGGCTTCCCCATCCTCAGCCGCACCCCGGAGCCCCTCCTGCTCCTCGGGGACACCTCCGGGCTGAATCCCCGCATCCGCCGGCTGCTCTAAATCCCCGTTATTACCGCGCTGCTCCCCGATTTCCAGGCAGACACCCCTGGTCTGCTGCTGCTGCTCCTCCTCCAGGCTGTGGTAGCCGTGGTCGGGGTCGGGCACGGGCAGATGCCAGCGCTGGAGGAACGCCAGGCGCTTGCTGCGCAGGAATTCAACCTCGGGCAAGCCCTCGGCTCGCAGGGGCTGCGGCAGGTGGCTCTTGCCCTGCTCCAAGCCCAGCACGTACCAATCCATGGGAAGGGCTCCCAGGCTGTTCCTCACCAGCCCTGCTCCCCACAGCCCCGCCGGCGGCTCCGGCCGCTTCTCCGGGAGTTTCTCCTCGGTCCAGTCCAGCGAGGCGTCCGCCTTGGGCAGCAGCACCAGCGGCGGCGATGCCTTGGCGGGGCACAGCGCGGAGCTGAGCGCGGCGCCGGGCAGCAGCCGCTGCAGGAGGGCGGGTAGCGGCGACAGCAGCTGCGACACCACGCGCAGCCACGAGAAGGGCGGGCTCGCCTGGGACGAGCCGCCGGCGGGCGCCGCGCTGGGCGCCGCCAGCTTCGGCCAGGCCCCGGCCAGGCCCAGTCGGGCCCATCCCAAGCCGGGGCCGGCGCGTTCGCGTCCGCTGTGCTCCATGAGGCCGTTCAGCGCTGCCAGCGGTGCGGAGGGGTGCGTGGAGCGGCGCTCCGTGGCGGGGCGGTGAGTCTGAAGGCTCGGCGGGCGGCGGGCAGCTCCGGTTCGGGTTTCGACTCCATCCTGAGGCAGCTTCAGCACAAAATGGCGGCGCCGCCGCCTCGGCGCTTTCCGCCCCCAAAGGGAGGGGCGGGGCGTCACCTCTTATGCCCCGCCCACTTTGCGTCACCAACTACCATTGGGCGGTGTCGGCGATGCCACGCCCACTCCCAGTGTGGCCACGCCCCGCGGGGATTGCATCAGCCGGTTCGCGGCGCACGGCAGCGCCCCCTAGCGGAGCGGCGGGTCTGGGGGGGACCCCGAGCCCACCCGGGGTTGGTCAGGGGACAATTTGGGGACACCTTGGGGACACTTTGGGGACACTCTGTGAGCCTCAGGGACAGCGCTGGGTGAGGGGGGCACTGAGAAAGCAGCTGGAGGATGATGGGGGTTGAGGGAGGCAGACCCCAGACCACCAGGGCTCGGCGTTCTGCAGGGTGCGGTGGGCAGATGTGTGCCCAGATGTGCAGGCAGAGGGGCAGATGTGCCACCCCTCCTTTCATCCCCTTTTTTGATCCCATTCCCATGTTCCATTCCCAACTCCCCCACCCTCGAGAAGCCAGACCACCCCCCACACCCCAACAGCCAGCAGATCCAATATTTAAAACTTTTAATATAAAGGTTAAAGTTAATTATTCTCGATCCTGAGAAACATTTCGTCCGTTTACGGAGCTGTCGCTGTAAACAAAGCACCACAGGCACCAAGCCCGCACCGGGGGCCGGGTGGCAGGCGGGAAGGACACAGATGTCCCCAGTGCACGGGGACAGCAACGGGACAGGCAACTCGCCACGCCGCTCTCCTTTGGGAGCGAATTCCCCGCGGTGGGAATTGCCCAGTTCCTGAGGTGGGGAGGGGCCCACACACCCCCCAACCCTCCCCATCCCCTCCGCCCCGGTGCTCACGCTACTCGTTATTACAAAAATTAAAATACGCATATCCCAAAGGAAGAAATAACCCCACGAACCGCCCCCACGCCCCACCCTCCCCGCGTTTGCTCCCTTGACACAAGGTAAACTTAAAAAAAGAAGCCACTTTTTGGGGACTCAGAGGGTGCCGTGGCCGCGGGAGCCCAGGGCGAACCAGCCCATCTTCTCCTGGGCCAGGTCCAGGTCGCGGAGGCGAATCCCAACCTCCCCCAGCAGGATGTTCTCCCAAAATCCTTCCTCGCTCAGCACGCTCAGCCGCAGCTCCCGCTGCTCCAGGTCCCCCCGGGGGATCCCGTCGTACACCAGCTGTGGGACACAACGGGGACAAACCCTCTCAGCCACGGCCACCCGTGGGGACGCCCCAAATCCGTCCCTGTCCCTTCTCCTACCATCTCGTTGTAGGTGGGGTTGCAGGTTTTTCGCGCCACTTTGGTTTTCCTCTTGGTGGTTTTTTGGGGGTCGGGCAGAAGGTAGGTCTTGACGTAGGGGTCGGGGTCGTTGCCGTCCTGCAGGGGTGGCTGTGGGGAAGATTGGGGACATGCCGTGAGCACATGGAGGGGACAGCCCCCCAAGCCCGCTCCCGTGGGTCCTACCAGCCCTCGGATGTGCATCACCATGATGAAGAGCTTGTTGTTCTTGTAGGAGATGGAGAGTTTCACCTCGCCGCCGACCTTGCCCAGGGATCGAGCCCACGTGGCGTCTGGAGAGGGGGGACAGGAGGGATGGGACACCCCTGATGTCACCCCCTGCCATCAGGCCCCAAAATCGCCCCCCAGAAATCGCCCCCCAAAATCGCCCCCCAAAATCACCCCCCAAAATCACCCCCCAAAATCATCCCCTAAAAATCATCCCCTAAAAATGACCCCCAAAATCACCCTCCAAAATCAGCCGCCAAAAATCACCCCACAAAGTCAGCCGCCAAAAATCGCACCTTCCCCACCTGCCGGCTTTGGGGTCGGGTTGGTTCCAGCCGCCTTCTCATCCCGGGGCAGGGGGTGGAAGAAGGTGTAGATGAGGTCACACTGCAGGGTCAGGAGGTGACATTAGTGGTGACAGCAGTGACAACAACCCTGCCATTCAAAACCATGGCGTGCGCCAATGCTCTACATGGTGCACACATCGATGCTCTACCAGCTGTGTTGTCCCCAAGCGTTTCCCCACCTCGCTGGTGGCCCTGGCGCTGTCCCCACCTCCCCACAGCCCCCACCCCGTGTCCCCACCTCTGCCACCTCGGGGGCGGCGTGGATCAGGTGCCAGATGTAGCCGTTGAGCTCCTCCTTGCGCCGCTCGGCCACCGCCTCGCCCCGCGAGCGCCCGATGACGAACCTGCTGGGGAAGCTGCGGGGACGGACAGACGGACACTCAGCGGGGTCCCGGGGGGTTTGGGGGAGTCCCTGGAGGTCCTGAGGGGCTTCAGGGCTACCTGGGCAGCAGCGAGGAGGGGAAGAGGAGGCGCAGTTTGTTGTGCAGCTCCTGGAACTCCTCGAAGGTGCGCTGCACGAAGGTGACATCGCCGGGGCTGTCCCTCTGCACCTTCACCACGTAGGTCTGCAAAGAGGAGAGGACATGACGTGGGATGGAGGAGCTGGGGCACCCCGAAGCCAACCTGGGCCTGTCCCCAGCTGTCCCCACTCACGTAGCCCTTGCTGGGGTTGAAGACCCTCTCGTGGCGGCACAGGAAGACGTCGCGGATCCGGCCGGACGTTTTGAGGGTGTGCGTGCGCGGCGCGAAGGACAGCGTGGGCCGCGCCTCCGAGCCCGTGAACTTCATCTGCGCCAGGTTGTGGATGAAGAAGTTGAGCTTGGTGGCCACGCTGCCCAGGCTGGACTCGATCAACCTGCAACGAGGCCACCGCCCGCTCAGTGCCACCGTGGGGTGGCGTTCACAGGAGTCCCAGGAAGAGGGGAGAGATGAGGATCTTAATCCATGTTATTATTTTATTATATATATATATATATATAAAAAATATAATATCTTTATATTATATATTTATATAATACATATTATATATTTTTAAATATATATTAATAATCATATATAATAATAGATATTATGTATTATATGTAATAACATACACTATATATGTAATAATATATAATAATAGATATTATGTATATTATATGATGTCATATAAATATAATATATTAATATATATTATATTATATATAATATATTTATATAATATAAAATCTATACTAAAAGAATAGAAGAAAGGATTTCAACAGAAGGTGTTCACAGGAGTCCCAGGAAAAGGGGAGAGACGAAGATCTGACTCCATGTTTCAGAAGGCTTGATTTATTATTTGATTATATACATTATATTAAAAATATAGTATATTTATATTATCTATGTATATAATATATACTATATTTGTTTAAATATATATTAATAATAATATTTATAGTAATAGATATAACATATAATGTATAATGTATAATATATAATATATAATATATAATATATAATATATAATATATAATATATAATATACAATATATAATACTACATATAATATATTTTATATGTAACGATATATAATATTATATATTATATATAATGATATATAATAATGTATTATATTATATTATATTATATTATATTATATTACATGTAGTATATTTATATAATCTAAAATATATACTAAAAGAATAGAAGAAAGGATTTCATCAGAATCAAGCAAAGGAAAAAAACGGATTGAATAACAAAAACTCCTGACTCTCAGAGAGTCCCAGCCAGCTGACTGTGATTGGCCATTAATTAGAAACAACCAACATGAGACCAATCACAGATGCACCTGTTGCATCCCACAGCAGCAGATAACCATTGTTTACATTTTGTTCCTGAGGCCTCTCAGCTTCTCAGGAGAAACAATCCTAAGGAAAGGATTTTTTATAAAACACATCTGTGATACCACTGTCCCAGGGAGCCTCCAGCTGCTCCTGTGTCACCCACTCTGGTGTCCCCTACCTGGTGAAGTAGGTGGTGGCATCAGCATCAGAGTCCTGCGGCCTCAGCGCGTCGTAGACGTACTTGAGGTCCTCCAGGTCGGAGAGCTCGGGGATGCCGCAGGACAGCATCTGGCAGGGAGGGCAGGGGTGAGCAAGGGGACAAAGGGACCCCCCCGTGCCACACTGAGGGGAATTTTGTGGCTCTCCCCGGCTCTCACCAGCCCCAGCAGGTTGAGGAAGAGGTGGGTGTGCTTGCGGATCAGGTTGTAGGCCTGGCAGCACAGGTCCACGAAGTCGTGGAAGCGGCTGGAGGGCTTGTCCCCGCCGTTGATGACATACGCCATGTCCGAGGTGAAGACAAACGGCGCACGGTCCCTGTGTCGGGGGACAGGAGGGACAAAGTGAGCAGGGGTGGGGGGCAGGATGAGAACAGGGAGAGGTCACCCACTGCCAGGACATGGAGGGGAGGAGGTCACTGATCACCATGACGAGGAGAGGGAGAAGTCTATGGACAGGACATGGAGAGGGAGAGGCCACTGATCACCATGACAAGGACAGGGAGAGGTCACTGATCACCAGGATGAGGAGAGGGAGAGGTCACCCACCACCAGGACAAGGACACAAGGAGGTCACCTCCCACCAGGACAAGGAAAAGGAGAGGTCACTGTGGCCACCACTGGGATGACAGGGAGAGGTCACCCACCACCAGGACATGAAGAAGGAAAGGTCACCCACCACAAGGACATGAAGGAGAGGTCACCCACCACAAGGATATGAAGGCAAGGTCATCCACCACCAGGACAAGGAGAGGGAGAGGTCACCCACCACCAGGACATGAAGGTGAGGTCACCCACCACAAGGATATGAAGAAGGAGAGGTCACCCACCACCAGGACAAGGACAGGGAGCTTCCCCCTCGGCCGGGAATGAGGGCAGGAGGTCCCAGGGGCCTCTCTCACCTCTTGATGTTGCCGAACATCTGGGCGTGGCCCAGGAACCGGCCGAAATCAATGTGGAACATGTGGCCCGTGGTCTTGAGCATGATGTTGTCGTTGTGCCTGTCGCAGATGCCCAGCACGTAGGTGGCCACGCAGCAGCCGGCGCAGGAGTAGATGAAGTTTTCCACGGCCTGTGAGGAAGGCGGGAAGGACATGGAGAAAGGATGGAAGCAAGGGGCAGGTCCCCAGAATGGGGGACACGAGGAGTAAGGATTCTTCCTCACCTTCTCGTACTCATCCTCCTCGGGGTTGTGTTTCTGCAGCCAGTCCGCCAGCGGCCGGTCCTTGAAGGAGCCGGTCACGCCGTGCTCCACCTGGATCTTCCGCA